AGTCCTGATTAAAATGCCGTGCTGCCCGAGAGAAGGGTCCTTTGGCCTTAAATATGGTATAGATATGCCACATTTTTAGCAAAAAGCACAAGTCACTTGCTGGGAAAATATTTAAGGGTTTTTGGAATCTGTTATGTCTGGAACACCATATCCCCTGAGATCAGATTAACCCTGATCCTGCTGGTCTTTCACAATGAATATTTGCTGTTTGCATCTGATATGATCTACTGTTAGAAATCATTTATTAGGAATTAAGCTTTGTTATTGGCTTCTGCTCATATTATTGTATACTGTCAGATATTAGTTGTTAGGAATTCTAGCTTATTGTAGCCTTGATACTGATTGACATTAAGTGAGTGCAAAGTTTGTTATCTCACTTCTGTGTCTCGCTTCTGTTATTAGCTTCAAAGCTAGGCACATCCTTGAAAATATAGAAGAAACGGTTACCCAGGAATATCAGGCCGCATAAATAAAGGAACCAGAGTAGGGAGTTTCCTGCCTCATAGATAGTACCACAGCAGGGAATTACCTGAAAGCATTCTGCTTGAATAAACAACATGGCCAGGGAGGGAAACCCCCACTTCCTGACACAGGGCTATAGGGCCGCTCCATAGACAAGGAAGGCAGAGACAGGGGCCTGAACAAAGAAACCTTTGAAGATAAAGACCCACATTGGTAACAAACCTTTATCTCAGATTGGGTAAATGTTGTCTCTAATGGGGTAAAAATGTGTACAATACTCTGGGCCACTCTCGCAGAGGTGTGGCTATTCCTTACATGCTTTTTGCCTGTATTTTGGAAATAGATTTCACCAGTGGTGGGATTCAAATTTTTTTACTACTGGTTCTGTGGGCGTGGCTTGGTGAGTGTGGCAGGGGGAGGGTAATGCAAAATCCCCATTCCCTCCCCACTCCTGGGGGAAGGTTACTACAAAATCCCCATTCCCTCCCCACCCCACTAATCTGCTTTCCAGCTCTGTTCTCCTGTGCAGGGCAACAAAAGAAGACCCAGCCAATCAGCTGGGACTCAGGAGGCAGAGAAAAGAGTCAGAGGTGGTATTTGCCGGTTCTCCAAACTACTCAAAATTTCCACTACCAGTTCTCCAGAACTGATCAGAACCTGCTGAATACACCTCTGGATTTCACCCAGTTTTTGCTTTGGCCAAAAATGAAAGCTGTCTCACTCTCTTTGGCATCTCAGTGGCTCAGGGAAACTTCTGGGACCTTACAACAAAATGTTAATCTGAAGGTGTTCCTGGACCTGCCGATCAGATTAAATGGCAGTTGAGATATCTCTGTTAATAGTTTTGTTTGGGTACAGGTGACCATTGTTGATTTTCTAATTCTTTAGTAATATTTATTCCATTTATTTTAATAATGTTGGCTTCATAGAGTTGCATTTACAAAATGGATGGTAATGTAAATGGAATGAATAAATAAATCTACATACGTGTAAAGAAACTTATAGCTGGCTTCCCTAACATTAGTGTTTTATGTGTGTCTGTATGATTTTGCCAATCTACTCAGATCTCTAAAGAAACATCTGCTGAGCCCATTCTGCGATCTTCATCCATTGCATCTTAAGTTATAAAAATTGGGGATCCTTGCCTTATTGTTGAAAAGAAGACTAACAAAGAATTATTGTGGCTCCAATTTCCCCTCCCCTGCTATCAGTAATATACTACTAATATAATAATTGCTAAAATTGAAAGAAACATAGCAAAAAAATCAAAATCCCATTAAAATCAATGATGTGCAGTTAGAATAGTTCAGACTATAGTAAAAGAAATTATAGTTTAGAATAACCAGGCATTGTTCACTAGTGACTATATAATGTATAAAAATCCCATTGTATCCCATTTCCATCCTATTATATCTATGGAAAAGATTTAAGATTGTGAAGTTCATAGGTTTAACTTTAGGTTCCCTAAACTTTAAATATATTAAATATATTAGGCAGCCCTTTCCTTTAAAAAAAAAAAAACCACTCCCTGCTACAGTATGTGTTTCATTTAAGACTTTTTCTGTTTTTGGCATTTTAAAACACAACGGTGTTCAAATAAAAACATTTGAAAAATGATTTTTCGATAAAATTTTAAACCGATCTAGGCTGCAGAAAACTGATGAGGTATCCAGATGACCTTGAAAATAAGTTAAATGCCAATTCAGGAAATGCCTGTCAACACATTCTATCAGTAATGCATCATTAATGGAAATGGATGCTTGCTTTATTCTGTTAATTGATTTTTGTTTATTTTCTACAATTAAACTCTGAACTTTTCCATGAATGAACTGTAAAAATAGCCACCTACTTGCTTTTAACCAGTATGTCAGGTTTTTACATTTTGGCACATCATTTTAAGTTTTCTCCTAAAGGCTAAACAGTTACATTTAAATTTGTTTGTCTTCAGTCTAATTTGAATGTGCCTAAGTAATAATGTGTTGCATGGTTTTGAAACACTGCAACTTTACAATCCTGTGCTGTATTTTCTGATTAGTCTTCCTCTTCTTTTCCTAAGAATTGCCAATTGTAATGACCTTAAAGACATAGTGAGCTATAATACTGTAGAATCATGTATTTCAACAGCTTTTTAAAATGATAATATTGCTTTATTCATTGCTTTCATATCAATAATATTGCTTTATTGCTCTGAATATTTCATAGATGTTGATTAATAAGCAAAAAGGTGTGCCAATTAAATCTGAACATTGTTGTGATTCTTTTCATAAAGGACATTACATGCATGTGAAACATATATATTTATCAGTTTATGGATCCATGGAATCTTGTTGCATGTAGCAAAGCAGAGAAAATAGTTCAAATCCTGTGAGAAGTGTGTTGCCTGGATAAAGCTATGCCAGGGATGAATAACTACGGCCCCTTTACAACCTGTGGACTTCAACTCCCATAATTTCTCAGCCAGCCACACTCAACCAATCATGGCTCAGGAATTCTGAGAGTTAAAGTCCACAGGTCATATAGGGGCCATAGTTGTCCACCCCTAAGCTATACGTTAGCAACAACACTGGCATGGATCATTGCTCCAGAATGTGAACTGTGTCCAAAAAGTTCTAAGTTCAGCTCTGGAAAGGATGCTGGAAATTGTGAGTTAAATGATTCTGTAACAGAAAGTGCTAGATTCTCAAATGTGCCCGGTCAGCTTTCACCTGTATAAATTTAATTTATGAGTCTGTAAAAATATCAGTCATTTTAATGGGGAAAGCAAAGTCCTATATACAAGGTTTGGGAAAGTCATGTTTATAAGCTACTGCTGACCTGTTAAGTCCTGTTAGCACCTGCTAACAGGAACATGACATGACAAAGAACCCACTTCTTTAAGATTAAGCCAGGGAAGGAGGATGGTGAACAGAGCATAGCAGGAAGGAAATAAACAAAATTCATTTCTACTGCTATCTGGTGGTCCTCTACATTTATGCAGCCCCAAGTGGATAATTAGGGAAGCAGAAAACAGGACCTGCCCACTACCCAGTTTCAGCGGCTGCGGTAGTTATTTCCTTATTTTCTGGATTTTTACACTTGCTTTCTATGGCCATTGTGCTCAATAGGATAGAAAGGATTAAGATAAAAGATCCCACTGGGAGACCACAGCACCTTGATTCCATACAGACAGCACCAAGCATCTCTAATGAAAACAGAACACCTTAATTGTTTTTGTAGAAAACAAAATACAAGAATGGAATAAAAACGAAAGCAATAGTATCTATACCCCTCCAACACAGAGACACACACCAGGTGTCTGGCAGGATGATTGCATTATACAACTTTAATAAAGAAGCCACCAATCTTACTCATCATTCTTTAATTATGAATGGCCTCTTATTTAACAAACATTTAAATGCAACTCTTTTTCAAAAAGTTGACAGTCTTGGTCTGAAGTCCCAAAGGTGCTTTTTCAAGAGACAACTGGACTTTTTTCTTCAAAGAAAAACCAGAAAGTCCAGTTGCCTCTTGAAAAAGCACCTTTGGGACAATCATGACCTGGATGATTGAGAATTTCCATAGACTTCTTGACCTGAAGAATAGTTTTTTTTAAAAGAGTGTCCCACGTTGATTCCGTGACAGCCATTTAACCACGTTTTCCCATTCAGGCTGACGGTTCATAAAGAGGAAAGAAGCAAAGGGTGACAGACTCCCACCTGCACACACCCTCACCCACCGAGGACAGGCTGGTAGACGTTATAATCCAAATAACACCCACTTTTTCCAACCAAGTTAATTCCGAGGCATTCATCCGGTTTAGCCAAACCTATTCAACAGACCACATCCCCAGAGATCACCCTGGAGTGAGGGTTTCCAGAGACGCAGCTTTGTTCCCATCTTACAAGAGAAACAACCCATGGTCCAGCCTCACAAAACCGAGCGGGATCAGACGGACGCTGCAAAACCTGGGCGATCAGAATAACAGAATAACAAGAGTTGGAAGGGTCATCTAGTCCAACCCCTGGCCCAAGCAGGAGACCCTAAACTATTTCTGATATCCTTTCTTGAAAGCCTCCAGTGATGAAGCTCCCAAAACTTCTGAAGTCAAGCTGTTCCATTGGTTGATTGCTCTCACTGTCAGAAAATTTCTCCTTTTTTCTAGCCCTTCAAATATTGGAACACGTCTCCCCTGGTCCTTCTCTTCACTAGACTAGCCATACCCAGTTCCTGCAACCGTTCTTCATATATGTTTTAGCCTCCAGTCCCCTCATCCCCAGATGAGAGCCTTCCGCCTCCGAGCCCTCTTTATTTTCCGCCCTTCTTTCCTCGGCGGGCGCCTCTCATCCTTCTGCCTTCTCCCGCTGCCTTCCCACCTCCCCCGCCTGCCCCCCCGCTTCGCCGCAATCCTCGTCCTTTCATTGGCTACCACGCAGACGCGCACCGGCTGGACCCTTTTGCCTATTGGCTGAGGTGCCTCTGCAGGACGCCGAGGAGCGGAGGGGCTTGCTGGCTCTGTCATTCCGGGCGGCGCAAGCGCACTGGCCTCCGTTATTGTTCACAATTGTAGCGGAGCCGAAGGGGAACATTGTAGCCGTGAACGCCCCCCTCCGGCTCTCTGCCTCCCTCGGAGCGACGCTATCCAGCCCCGTTTGAGTTCGCCGGCGGCGGTGGCGGCAGCGGCGGGAGCAGCGGCATGCCGGTGAGCCACTCACCCCAGCCTTTCCTTTCCGCCCCGGCTTCGTACGCCCAGGCGCGCCGCGGCCCGTTGCTAGGGACGGCGCTGCCCAGGGAAGCCGAGCGAGGTCTGGCATCAGGTGGTGGGCGGGTGGCGGCGGTGGCTGCTGGGTGCGGGAGTCTGCCGTGGGCCTTAGCGAAAAGAGGCGCTTTTCACGGGTCTCGCAAGGCCGGTCTTCCCGGGGTGGACCTGGAGACCTCTTTCCCCGGAAAACCCCACGAATCGCCCGCAAGGGATTGTTGAGTCCGAAATAAAGCACAGGGCGTCAGGCTAGCCATCGCAGCCTATGAGACGCCAGGCCTCGGGTGAAGGTAACCTTCCCCTCTTCATCCAGATGTGATGGACGACCCCGCCCCTCGTTGGCTTCACACGGTAAACCCAGGGATGGTTGCCAGTTTACAGGTAGTCCTCGACCTACGACCACAACTGAGCCCATCACTGGTATGGCCACAATTGAGCCCAAAATTTCTGTTTCTCAGCAAGACGGTTGTTACTGAGAGTTTTGTCCCGTTTTACGACCTTTCTTGCCAGAGTGGTTAAGTGAATCACTGCAGTTGTTAATAACATGGTTGCTAAGTGAATTTGACTTCCCCGGTGATTTTGCTTGTCAGAAGGGCCCAAAAGATGATCACATGACCCTGGGAAACTGCAACCGCCTGGTCAGAAGATAATAAAAATCCAAGGGCAACGCATTATACAGATTATTTAAATGTGTGTGTTTGGTTAAAACTGTATTTTGAAAGGAATAAATATATTTCATCTAAAGAGGCGGGTCCCCAACCTTTGTGGCTTGGCAGCTGGCTGGCGGGGGGAGGAGAGAGGAACCGGGCCACATGAGTGGTGGGCCAGCACATACATGCAGCTTGACTTGCACATGTGGTAGGCCAGCATGCACGTGCATGCACATTCAGCTTGACTGCATGTTGCGCTGCATGTACATGCATGTGTATGCCAGCCCACCACTCGCATCAAATCGTGTGTGCGCACTGGCATGCTGCTTGCATGAATTAAGTTGCACACATGCATGTGTGCATCGGCCTGTGGTCCGCTTGTGAATAGACCATGGCCTGGTAGTGAGCTACAGCCTGGTGGTTGGGAACCTCTGTTTTAAAGTAAAGTACCTTTATTGGGCCTAACCACAAGACAATCTTTCCAGATCAAATGCAAAAATGTTTCATAAAACATTTGGGTGCTCCTTAACTATTTTTTTTAAGTGACCACTTAAATATAATCCAAAAATAGAGGATCTCATATTTTCCAAAAAATAGTTATTGCCAAATTGCTTCAGGAAGTGTTTTATTTTATTTTTTTCTACGGGGGTTACGAGTCTAATCATGTTTTGGTATCTTGGTTTTGTTCCTTGCTCTTTGTTGAATAATAATGGGGCATTTCTTTCTCCATGTAGATCAACAGATCCGAAAAGCCAGACAAACCTGATAATTCCGATAATGTCAAAGTTGTGGTTCGTTGCCGGCCGCTCAATGAGCGGGAGAAGACCATGTGTTATAAAATGGCTGTCAATGTTGATGAAATGAGAGGCACTATTACTGTGCATAAAACAGATTCTTCCAATGAACCTCCCAAGACATTTACTTTTGATACTGTATTTGGGCCAGAGAGCAAGCAACTCGACGTCTATAACTTGACTGCAAGGCCAATTATTGACTCTGTGCTGGAAGGTTACAATGGTAAGTGCTTCTTCATTCTAACGGGATGAAGAAGGGGAGGAGGGAAAGCCAGTTGTAAGCCACGTTCTTTTGCAACACAATTGCCTTCCCTAAATATTAGAACTACTCTGCATTTGTGTGTGTGGTGGGGGTGTGTGTGTATGCATGTGTGAATAGATACGTACAGACACACACATGTGCATGTTCTATTTGATTATAGATCTCCCTATTTACAAAATGGATTTGCTTCTTTTAACGTCTCTACTCTGAGCCACAGAGAAACAATCATCAATAGAGTCCTTCAAAGTGCACTAAGATAGAGAAGGGTTGTACTTTGTTTCTGTGGAAACCTTTTTGCTCAGAAAAATAATCATGTGACTGTCTGCCTTTCTTCACCTATATATAATACAAGATAACAGTCCAGTTAGACTTATTAAACCAAGATCAGCCAATTCAACACTCACTATGTTTGCAAAAGGCATTAGAGTCGGGTCTGTCAAAGCTGAACTGTACATAGGAAGTCCTCGACTTATAACAGTTCATTTAGTGTCTGTTCAAAGTTATGACACTGAAAAAAGTGACTTATGACCATTTTTCACATTTACGACCTTGTAGCAGCCCCATGATCATGTGATCAAAATTCAGGTGTTTGGCAACTGTCTCATATTTATGACCGCTGCTGTGTCCCAAGGTCACCATTTGCAACCTTTTGATGAGCAAAATCAATGGGGAAGCCAGATTCACTTAACAACCATGATACTAACTTTCCAACGGCAGTAATTCAATTAACAACTATGTCGTAAAATGGGAGAAAACTCACTTAACAAATTGTGGTCGTAAGTCGAGGACTAACTGTACAAGTCTATATATACTTGTTTACCCCTAACAGTTACAAGGACAATACAGGTGGTCCGTCTTGTTCAGTAACCACCCAAAGTTGCAACCACATTGAATGAGGGAGATTTACAACAGATCCTCATAGTTGGGGCCATTGCAGCGTCCTGTGATCATGTAATCACCATTTGAGAGCCTCTTTGCTGGCTTTTCACAAGCAAAGTCAATGGGGAAGCCAGCAGGAGGTCAAAAATATTAGCCAGGATGCTGCAACCGCTTGAGATTCGTCTAAGAATGATTGCTGGAACTGTCATCATAAGTTAATGGAGTCACACAACATCACACTGCGTAACCACATCACTTAGCAATGGAGTTCCTGGTTACTGTTGGTAAGTGAGGACTACCAGTATACTCTTTTGTACAGTATATGCAACTCCAAAGTTTTTTTTTCTGGTGAGACATATTGTCATGCCCTTGTTAGAGTCAGACTCTGAGGGAGAGGAGGAACAGCCAACAGGGAATGGAGGTGTGGCTCCAGAGGGTTGTGGAAGAGGCTTGGAAGGGGCAGAGGCCAGCTGGGCAGTCAGAGGAAGAACCAGGCCCGTCCCCTTTTCATCCTAGGACACACACGGAGGAACATAGAAGGCAACAACTTGGCTTATGAGAGAGGAAGCGGCCATGATCCCTGTCATTGGTTGCAGCTGGGGAGAATAGTATATAAGAGAGACGGTTAAAACACAGCGTTGCCAGAAGCAAAGTATGTGTTATTTTGGGCTGAAGTTATCTTGGTTGGTGTCCTTCCAACAGATTGTGCTTTGTTATCTCCTTGAAGTTGGTAATTACTTATCCTGGCCCATTGTGGAAATTCCTTCATTGTAGTTTTTTTAGTTTTTTATTTCACCCCTATCTGCTCAATAAGTTCAGACTGTATTGCTTTCTTTTGAAGACTATTTTTGAATAGGTTTTATCTCCAACTGAGAATTATTGAACAGTGGGGCCAAGTTGGAGGCATTAAAGGACATTTATTTACGTTTTGGATTTTGTTACATTTGTCATCACACATATATGATAAGTCAGTTCTTTGGTTGTTGAGAGTTGGGGTGTTCAAAGATGCCCGGTTTTATTTGGCTCGAATCAAAGGACACTGAACCTAATATTCACATCGTGGATTGACATGCACTTATCCTTCATTTTATGAAAACATTTTCTAATGTTCAATAAGTATACCGTACGTAGAAAATTGTATTTTAGGCTACAGAAAAAAGTATATGGGTAGTTCTCAACATACAACCACAATTGAGCCCAAAATTTCCATTGCTAAGTGAGACATTTGCTAATCACTGAAGTTGTTAAGTTAGTAAGATGGTGGTTAAGTGAATCTGGCTTCCCCCTTGACGTTACTTGTCAGAAGGTTTCCAAGATGCTCATATGATCCCAGGACACTGCAACCATCATAACCCTGAGTCACTTGCCAAGCACCTGAATTTTCATGTAACCATCAGGATGCTGCAACAGTTGTAGAGTGTGGGAAATGATCATAAGTCACTTTTTTCAATGCCGTTGTAACTTGGAACGTTCACGAAGTGAATTGTTGTAGGTTGAGGACTACCTGTAATTTGGGGAAGATATATTTTTAAAAAGAAATCACAGCTCGATTCAGAAATGGGATGAAACAGCTTCATGAATGAACGTATGAGAAAGTGACATGGGCCAAGGAAAGAGCTATGTTTTTGCTTCATGCTTGGAAGTTTCATAGAGATCCTTACTTCTCAACATACCCATGGCCTGTGCCCTCCTGGTACTAGGAGTGCTTAAAAAACGGGATTTATATTACAGGTACCATTTTTGCTTATGGACAGACTGGAACAGGAAAGACTTTTACTATGGAGGGTGTCCGGGCTGTACCAGAACTCAGGGGAATCATTCCCAATTCCTTTGCTCATGTATTTGGACACATCGCAAAAGCTGAAGGAGATACAAGGTAAAATAATTGGTTTCCTTTCTTCACATTCCTATCCTGCCAGTATCGATTCCATTTCAGAAGTGCTTTCCTGGACCAGACTGAAATTCCATCTAGTCCAAGGATTCGGTTTCTGATTGTGTGGAAAATTAGGTGCTGGCGGGAAAACACAAGCAGAACATGAAGGCAGCAGATGTTGTCACACTGAGAGCTGGAAGGCAGTGCCAGTGCTACTTGGCTTTTTCTATCTAGAGTTTCAAGAATTTAGAAACCAATGCACACTCCCTGCTCTCTTTGTGAACCAAAAGCTCTATTCATTCATTCATCCAGACACACTTATCTGACTCAAAGTCTAGCTGGCCAAGGTGGGTTTGAATTGCAGAAGAAATTAGGCATATAAATCCCTCTTACTTATTCTATACTTTCAAAGTTTGACCAGTACCATTGTGGCACTTTTGTTATATCACTCGGTACTTTTCCTCCAGAATGCCATTGTCTCATCCAGTTCACATGGAAACTGTCAGCTGTTTTAGGAATGGTTCTTGTTCTTCAAAGTCATCCTTTTTGTCCTTGAACTGAACTTGGGCCTTATATCTGTGGAGGGCAAATGTATCATGTATTCTTCATAGGTGCCCATTCACACACATATATAAGCTAAAATTATGCATTATCACTCTGTCATTAGAGTGATTGGTATGGTTTGTTAGTGTCAGCATATTGGCATTAATATACTGATTGACATACATTTCATTAATTAGTCTGATTATACATGGTTAATGTATTTAAACACTATTCCTTTTAGTTTTCTTTTAATATCCAAAGATAGACAGCTTTTGAAATTTGCCTTATAATTATCTAATGCTCCTGTTGATTTGTCAGGAGCAATAAATTATCTAAACTAAATAGATGTTCCATGAAAAAAAAAAAACTTCTATAGGACATACTGCCTCTAACAGCACTCAGCGATACATATGTAAATTCTTACTTGCACAGTCTTCTTTGTCTTTTAATAAGCTTCTTAGAAACTTACTTGCCACCGAGACTGAGATGGGTGGTATATAAATGTAATAAACAAATTTATAAAGTTAATTATGTATTTATTTAACTTAAAAAACTTGAGATCTACCAACTCAAACCTTATCTAAAAAAAAATATTGTGTACCAACATTGTTCTAAACAGTCTAACTTAAAGTAACCTGGTTCTTACACATATCTCTTCACTTTTGTCTACCCAAAGCTTTCTTCTTTTTAGTATAATTTAGAATAAAGGGAAGACATTTTGGTTACTGTTAAATATCATTAAAGATTTAAAAATAACCAATTCTTGGGCATTTCCTGCAGAGATTCCATAGATTTTTTATAGTAGATCACCATTTATCTATGGCTAACAAGATAGATTTACTCTTCCCATGTAGTTTTCCGAGTTTCTCTATTTTACTCCAGCAATGTGAGATAGTGAATACTTCAAGAGAAGAAAGGGGATTCCTTACCATAGAAATCTGCTCACAAAAGAGTGGATGGCATTCCATTGTCTTTACTTCATAGCTTTATGGGAAAATCATACAGAGCATCACATTTGTGTTGCATTTCTCTCTCAAATACATTTTTAATTTGAAATGCCCCAAATGGAATCTTTTCTTTCCCTAATAAGATAGAGGCTATAAGTCTCTTTTCAAAAGTTCCGTTAATTCTTTTTAATCATTCTAGTGTATCTTCCCTTTTCTCTTTCTGCCCCCTCCCCCCATTATTCATACATTAAAATTAATTCTGGCAATGTTTTTGCTGTAATTGTATTTTTAAACTTCAGGTTTTTGGTTCGAGTTTCTTATTTGGAAATCTACAATGAGGAAGTACGTGACCTCTTGGGAAAGGACCAGACACAGAGGCTAGAGGTAAAAACTTAAACTCTTTCCATTGTGAAAACTAACTACATGATCACCTCTTTGCCATTTACACAAATGACATTAGAGTGCTGACCTCTGATTTATTATGGCTTTTCACATAGTCAGTTAGATGTTTAGACTGGATTTGCCATTTTTATCCAGCTATCAAATCCTCCCCAAGTCCCTAGGATAGGCAAATGTTGTTGTTTGATTATATTAAAGATATCATCATAGGATGAAAGCAGTTCCAAGAAAAGCTGCCTTTTGCAATTGACTGATGGTTATTTTGTCAATGTTGATGGTGCTCCGGGTGTTTTGGCATTGTACCCAAGGCACCTAGTCCTATTGGTATTATCTTTGTTTTCTTTTGCCACAGTCGTTCTGCTTCTATTTGTAGGTGTTTACGTTTTGTGAATTTTTCTAGTTCTTTCTCTTCTCTTCTGCCTGCGGGTACTTCAGAGTCCGCTATCCAGATTTTTTTGGGGTCTTTCTTCGCAACACTAGTTAAGCCTGGACTGTTACGTGTTTGTAGGTACTAGTTATTACACGTGCACACACAAACAGAGTAAATATTCCTGCCTTTTTTCTCCACAGCAACAATCCCATGTAGTAGACTAGGTTGAGGGAAAATAACTGGCTCAAAGTCACTCAACCAGCTTTTAGGACTAAAGGATGCCTAGAATTCACAGTCTCCTAGTTTCTAGGCCAGCACCTTATTCACTCCACCAGACTAGTTCTCTTTAATATTCTAAGAACATAAATACTTGTATGGTCTATTCCATTGAAAATAAAGAACATCAGGAATAGTTGTTATTAACTAAAATGTCTTATAGGTTAAAGAACGACCTGATGTAGGAGTCTATATCAAAGATCTTTCGGCCTACGTTGTAAACAATGCAGATGACATGGATAGAATTATGACTCTTGGCCATAAAAACCGTAAGTTGCATAGCTCTAGTTGAGTTCTTCATATTCTTTGTGGAAGGTCCTCAGTTTCATTAAATGTGTATAAAAGTGTAACAAACACTATAATATTTATGGTGGTTCCTTTGTCTTTTCCAATGCAACTGGCCCAGTACACGTGTTTCTACATATGCAGCCTTTGATATAAAAAAGTGATCAAATTTGAATTTGATTTGGTTCCTGACATTTGCCTAAGTTTTTCATTTTTATAATTAATATAAATAGAAAAAAGCACTCAGGCAAACTGAAAACAGCTCGAGTAGATAGAGTTTTGATACCTGTTCATTCATTGTGTTATTTTCCCTTCCATCCAGTGTTGGAACAGGGCTGCTAGAGCTGTGTCAAGAAGTCAAAAAGATTTTGCTATTAATTCAAGCTTTTAGATTCCCTTCTCTGTGTCCATAGGCTCTGTTGGTGCCACTAATATGAATGAGCACAGTTCCCGTTCCCATGCTATCTTCACAATCACAATTGAATGCAGTGAGAAGGGTGTGGATGGGAATATACATGTGCGTATGGGCAAGCTACATCTTGTAGACCTTGCGGTAAGTTTTACTTTTCATAAGTTTGTAGCATGTTTGTCACAGGTATCACAGCTATTGTCGGGACTTCCTCTGCATTTTTAAAGAAGCTGCTAGAAATTACTAGTTGAAGTGGAGGATTTCTTCATGTCCTTAAATGGACCCCTTCTCTATTTGTGTGGGCTTGTTGTGCATGTGGTTGCATATCAAGCAGACAGCCTTTTTCAGCTGCTTTTCTTCAATGCTCTTCTTTGAAGAAAGTATTTCTGGAAGAGCCCTTTGCCCCCTAACTCGCTACCTCTTTCTCTCTTCCTAAAGGGTTCAGAAAGGCAAGCAAAAACTGGAGCTACTGGCCAACGATTGAAAGAAGCAACAAAAATCAACCTTTCTCTCTCCACCCTTGGGAATGTTATCTCGGCGCTGGTGGATGGAAAGAGCACTCACGTGCCTTACCGCAATTCTAAACTGACTCGGCTACTCCAGGATTCTCTTGGCGGCAACTCCAAAACTATGATGGTAATAATAAGGAAACATTAGTGATTCATGTGGGGCAAGTTAATGACAGTCCAGAGGTTACCAGGTTGTGGATGGGGAAAGCAGGTTCAAATTCAATCTAAACAAGATGGAATTTACTTGTTGAATCCTTCCTCTTGACATAACATCTACTCCCAGAGATGATGCTTGCCGATCGGAATTGTATCAATTGGTTCTCTATTACATTGTCCAATTTGTTGCAGTTCAGTAAGGATAAATTATGAACAATTGGTTCCCCCCCCCAAGCTTTCCATGCCAGGAATGTAAAGAACTGGTGCAGTGGAAGATGATTAGTGGCTCTGGTTTTGATGGTACTGATCACCTGCCTACTGTGTAGAATGCCATTGTCCAAGCATAGCTGGAGAGTTATGCAATTTTTGGCTTGGAGCCTTTCTGGATTGGGTTGTAAATGTTTCCCATGTGCTTAGTTGTTTTTTTTTGAAACAAATTTTATTAATTTTAAAGACAAACAAACCATCATTAACCATTGAATACATAAAACCTCTTTCCATTATAAATTTTACAAGTCGAATAAAACATTATTTTATACAACATAATTCTATTTTACACCATTTCCATATGAACATATAAATATCTCTTAGCAAATTTCTCATTATTTCTCTTTACTCTTATTCGATTTCATTATTATTATTAGTTTTTCCTATATTTATCCAATTTATAGTTATCATCTTCATTTCTCTCTGACTTGGTTACCGTGATTCTCATCCAACATTCCTCCAAGGTTTTATTAATTCTCAAACAGACATAAACACACAAAACACAAAGACATAAAACTTCTTTTTAGTAAGTAACTTGGCCCCAGATTACCTCTCTCTATATGGACTTCAATTAAATTCGTGCTCATCTTATATACCATTACCTATCTTATTTACCATTCTATATCTTCTATATAGCTCCTCCCCGCTTTTCACTCTTCTTAATTCTATTTTATTTAATTCATTTTAATTTAAATCATTGTGCTTGTATCTTTTGTCCATTCTTTCCAAATTATCCATTTATCTCATTCCCTATAGTAAAAAAAAAAAAGGATTTCTCCTGGAATCACTAATCAGAGTATGATGCCTTTCTATCGTCCCCCTAAATTAACATTTAAAATAACGCCTAGTACCCAATCTGATTCTGCTTAGTGCATTCTACCTACTAACTTTTACAAAGAAGAAAAAATAATCAAAATGATTAAATACATAATTAGATAATAAATCTAAATATTAAATCTTGTAACATTCCAATTATCTATTTCAAAAACAAATGCTACAGTAATAAGTTTATAATAACATCAACACAATAGTCAATTAAACTCTTTAATTAAACTCAATATTTTAAACATTCCCTTTAATATTTTGTTAAATTTTAAAGTCTATCATTACTAAACATTTCAATATTTTAATCTTTTATTAATTCTTATAACATTCTAGTTTTCTATTTCTAATACAAATACTACAATACCATCTTATGTACCTTGCAGAATCTTCTTTTTTAAAGAAATTATACATTACCCTTTGTCCCTAAAAATAATTCCTTTTTTCCCATCTTGTTTCATACCTTTGTGGCTTTCCCCCCCCCTTTTCCCTTCCTTTCTTATCCCACCTGACCTTTTTAACCCCCCCTCTCCTAACCTCTGCCTTGTTAGCTTCCCCTCTCTGTTGTATTCCTTTTTTCTTTTGCTTTCTAACATTATGTTGATTTTGCATCTTATTTTTCTCTTTCTTGGGTGTTTTTTTTAAGTCTTAAGTCCTTCATTTTCCTTCCTCTCTTTCTCCTTTCTTTCTTAATTAAAATTTTGGATTCATTAAAGATGGCTTCTTCTTCTTCTTCTTCTTCTTCTTCTTCTTCTTCTTCTTCTTCTTCTTCTTCTTCTTCCTCTTCCTCTTCCTCTTCCTCTTCCTCTTCCTCTTCTTCTTCTGCTTTCTCCATCTGTTGTTGTGTTTGCTGATAAATAGCAAGCACCATTTCTAAAAAATGAAAGGCTTCTTTCACAGCGTCCTTGCCTTCTTTCTTTATTTTTCCATATTCCTTTCTAAGTTCATCAACAGGTAAAGCCATTGTAAACCTTTTCTTTTTTTCCTCTTCTTAAAACAACCAAGATGTTTCAAAAGTTAGAACAGTTCCCCAAAGTCCCAGAGTCATCAATCAGTCCAAACAAAGCACAAAGTTCTCACTTTCTCTTCCTGGGGTAATATCAATAAAAAGAAAAGAAAAGCCCAATCTATATTTTAAAGCCTTGTTGCAATTAATTTCTAGTCTCAAAATCTTCAAGGCATCTCCTCCAACAAGATCTTAATATTTTTTTTGTCCTCTCCCTTCCCACTTATAACAAAGAGCCAAATTTTTACCTTCTATAAAAAGACAGGTTTCTCAATATCCATTTATTGATTCCATAGGGAAGGAGAGTAAACTTTCCCTTTCAGCACCTCGAATTTGCCGCTTGAAATTCTCCTCTGGAAACAAAGTATCATTCAAAAAGTCATAGTTTTCAGGATGTTAGGTGTATCTTAAAGTCCTGGGTCAGCCAAGAAAAAACTTTCTCCTCAAAACTTTCTCCCTCTTCCTCCTGCACAGTCTTACCCAGCTGCCGGCTTCTTTGTGGTGGCCATTACAGACCGCCCCTCCACCGCCTTGAGAAAAGGGGGTTTTGCCGGCTGGGGAGGGGGTCTGCAACACCCCCAAACCCCTCTCCGGATCTCCCCTGTCTTCGGCTGCCTCTATGAGGCAGCCTTAGCCTCCAGACCCGTCGGGATCGGAGGCACCAAGACGACTAGCGCCGCAGGGATCGCGCAGTATCGCGAATCCCTGCCGCTGCCGAAGCCGACAAACCGGAAGTCTCCCATGTGCTTAGTTTTGAAAAGCAGACAAAACGTTTTCGCGCTTAAAATCCAACTACCAGTTTGTTGGAAATCTAACTTCAGCTTACATTTAACCATAATGTTGCACTTCCTGTAAATTGAGAATTGGACTGCTGTGTACTTAATTGCAGGCTTTTATGCTTGTTTATTATTTTTTCTTTCTTGTCAGTGTGCAAACATTGGCCCAGCCGACTACAATTATGATGAGACCATCAGCACTCTGCGATATGCTAACCGTGCTAAAAATATCAAGAATAAGGCTAGAATTAATGAAGATCCAAAGGATGCCTTACTTCGCCAATTTCAAAAAGAAATAGAAGAACTTAAGAAAAAGTTGGAAGAAGGTAATTTGTTCATTTTCTCCTATTAATGCATCTGGCTTGTAATGTCCCATTTTAAATACATTCCAAGTTCTCCAACAAAATAGTGAATGATGAATGTAGATTTTAATATGTATATCAGATTAACCTGTGCTTGCTTCAAGAAATTAGGATGATACACAGATTTGTTTTCCCTCTATTTTTTGTCTTTGAGCATCTTGTAATGTAGCTTAGGCTAGGAGATACTGTCCTAAATCTACCTGTCAAGTTTAGCAGCTTAATGTCTTCTTTAATCCAGGTCCAACATTCAACCTCCATTCACAGTTTTAACTTCTTTCAATAAGAATGTGTTGCAAGTATCACCTATTCTTATTCACTAAATGTAGTTTTGTTTGCAACAAATACAAAGCAGAAGGCACAGTCAATTACATTTGATAAGAAACAGAACCTTTGGTAGCAATATTACTTGCCAAGGATTTCTTGATAATCTTCTAATTATTTTGATCAATTTCTTTGTGGTTCTATTTTCTAACAAAAGTTGTAAAGCTAAGGGGTGAAATTAGACTGAGATTTAAATTAACATACCAGGATTCTGTAGATAAAAATTAATTTAAAAGCATTTGTTTCCTGTATTAAAAATGCTGAACTATTGTAGGGGAAGAAATCTCTGGCTCTGAGACCAGTGGCTCTGAAGAGGATGATGAAGAGGATGATGGGGAAATTGGTGAAGATGGAGAAAAACGAAAGAAACGAAGAGGTAAGGTGCTTTCAGATCACTTGATATCATCTTCATGTTTGTGCCTGAGTGCCTACTTCAGTAAACTTGTCCTTCTGTAAAAATTGTATTTTAATTGTGTAACAATTAAAAGGTTTTTTTTTTAAAGGATAAAATAATTGTGGGGTGTAATGACTCTCAAATATCTTCAGGCTAGTATTAATGTTTCCTAGAAAGCACAAGAGTTAAGTTCTGGGCTGTCTTCTGAACTTTGGCTTCTACTTCATTTAAATCAATACGTTTTAGAACTGGGGGTATTTGCATGTAGAAATTTGGTTGAGTGTATTGGACATTCATTCCTAAAGACAATAGTTTTGTCTCCTGTTTGGTGATTGTGGAGGGAAATATTGATGGCACTGTTAAGCTTTACCTCACAAAGGATATCCTTCTATTAACTCCAGGGACTCTCTAGAAAGAAAAAGAATCTACAGGACTTTAAGCTTCCTGTTGATTTTCATTCATTTTAACTTAATTTTTAAAAACTTAGTCATAATAATGTAGCTGTGCACATAAGATTTAACTTAGTCTGTTGTATGTATCAAGTCCGGGTAGTAACTTGAGATAGAATTTCAGAATCTACTTTTAAGCTGAGTGATGTGCTATGGAGACAAAAGGAGGCATATTTGAGTTTCAGTGCTCTGGATAGAGAAAAACTATTGTTATTTGGTTGCAAAATGACTTCTTTTAGGAGTTCTTATCCATGTCTAATTGGATAGCACATGACCCGAAACCTGTAAATGTATTACTGATTTAAAGAAATCTTCCTCAACTTGGAGCCCTCCAGGTGTATTGAGCTTTTATTTTCATAAATTAAATGCATTTGGCAGGAGATTATAGGAGTGACACGCTCAAAATATCTGAAGAACACCAGGCTGGGAAAGGTAATTTAAATCAGGGATGGGCAATTCACAAGCCCATTGGTCCCCAGGCACACATTTTGTGTACTTCAGAGCTCCCTCTGCCATGTTGTAATGATGGTTTTCTCAACCAATATTTAAGGTCTGTAGACTGCTGTGAAGTTGATTCTGATTGATTTTTACCTGGGGGATTTCTGCCTGGCCCCTTCTACTTTGTTTCATAGCTCAATCAAATTCCTTGAAATCCTGGGTCAGAACAACAAGTTCAAATACAACTTTTATCTAACTTTGCTCTAAGCAAACATTTTGTGCTTAGCTGAAAGGAGTCCTAATTTGGTTGAAGCAAAAATACCTGAAGGACTGATGCTCCTTTCTCCCTTTTATGGATCTCTTCCTCCTCTGAGTTTTTAATTGATGCATTGTTAGTTACAGTTAAACCCCAAACCTTTAATAATAATGTTTAATAATGTTATTGAAACATTGCCTGAAGAAGTGAGAATTGCACTTCTTTACAGACCAAGGGATTATAAATTGTGTTGTTGATTTCTCTGCTCACCCTCAAAAATGGCTGCAGGAGCATTTGTCAGCCAATCGGGGTACATTAAAATGCTGAGCTGTACAGCTGCACGGCAGGGATCTTAAAGTTACCTGAGGTGATGCATCAAAGAGTCAGTCTCTCTTGAGGACTTTTGGGTTGATCTTTTACCCTTTACATCTAATGTTCAGCATGTATTTCTTGTTTCTTCTTCTTTCCTGGGATTTCCATGGGGCCCACTTCTGTATTTTCCAGGCAGTAGCAGCAGCAGTAGTTCAGACTCTCCATGCTCTGTCATAGAAAAACCTCTGGATAAAACCTTCACTAGTGAGTGGGAGCTCTTAAGTCATCCAGTGAAGCTTTGGCCTTGCCATAATCCGTGCACTCGTTGTTTTGATGCTGCATTTTGCTTCTCTGTCCCTGATACATCAGTTTTGTTCAGAGTGAAATGTGGATTTGCTCCACATAAAGTAAAGCATGCTTTTTCTTTTGCTGTTTCAAACTTACATACTGTTCTGACCCAACCAGGTTCTATGAATGCTGTTCCTTTACAGATAAAAGGCTGTTTTCCAACCATTATCTCCGACAAGAAAGAACCTTGCCAAGTTGTTTGTCAAGACTGCCAAAAACCCAGAGATAAGAACTAATTTACAAGATTCACGAACTAAGATTTCCACCAGTTGAGCTTAAGAGCTTCTTTGCTGTCTGCAAAGAACGCTTTTTCAAACCTGGCTTTTATCTTCTTGAGGGAGGGGCCATTACCTTGCAGCCTTACTCCCGAGTCGCCTGTGCTGCTGTAATTGTTCTTTCCTCCGAGTAATCCTTCGTGCACATGCACTTGTCACAGGCTCCTCAGGAACCTCCTCGTCACTGCTACCAGCCCCCACAATCTCTGAAGGCGGCAATCCACTCCCTGATGGTCCTGGCCCCTCTCCTCAGCTGTCTGCACCTGCTGCTGGCTAACCACAACACATACAAACACCAGGATTCACCTTAGCTAAATAGTTCAAGACAGGGAAAAAGAAATATTGGTATTGCTCACATCAGTCCAGTGTTAGGTAACAGAAATGATTTTTAAAAAGGCATTGTTGACACTGTCTGATATCGTACAATCATACTAAGCATAGATAGCTTTTGGCAGATTTTTTTTCCTGTAGGTATATGTTTTGGAAAGGGAGCTGGATTAGATAATCTTTGATATAAGTGACATTGAATGTCACTAGTAAATGACTTTAGACCCCAACACTCTGCTTTTGTGGGAACTTCCCATTAGTTTCTGAAGCAGGGGTGTCAATAGAGTGTGGGTTTTTCTTTTTTAAAAAAGTCAAAATGGCAGCTTCCATTGCATTATTGCAGGCACCATCTTAACTGTTTTGACCACACCCCCAGATCCCCTAACTCTAGCGCAGAGATATCAAACTCGGCCCAGTGGCTGGATCTGGCCCACAGGGTGTTTAGATCTGGCCCACGGAGCCACCCTGGAAATAACAAATGACTGGCCCACAGTACCTCTACCAGCAAAAATGGAGCTCGCAAGGGTTGCATGCACCCCTCCTGAGCTCCGTTTTCACTTGCAGAGGGTTGCAGGAGGCCGTCGCAGCCGAAAATGGAACTTATGAGGGCCGTGTGTTGCCCCCCTGAGTTCAGTTTTCATTGGCAGAGGGTTGCAGGAGACTGTCACAGCTGAAAATGGGGCTTGAGAGCCTGTTTTCTCTGGCAGAGTGCTTGGCCGCCACAGGCACCCTTGACACAAGTGACATGATGACCACACTCACCCCGGCCCCCTGAGATCAAACACAACCCTGGTGCAGCCCTCAATGAGTTTGACATCCCAGCTGTAGAGGAAAAGACACCCATATCTTAATCATGCATATTTGCATGTTAGATGTTTCCTGCTTATCAGAGTAAATGGGAAGTGTTTGCTTCAGCAGAGTTTTGCAGATAGTGATCGACTAGTTCCTGGAACAAGTTCAATAGATCTTTATTTTATATATCCATTAATAGTTTGAAACAAACAGTCTTCTCCCACCTCTCTTCCCAACCCCCCACCACCACCACCTTGGCTGCTGGCTGTCAATCACAATGGAATGTTGTTTTCATTTGGGAAACACATCACAGTCGGCTGAATACTCTCCAGCTTGATATGAGAAGTGGGATAGTGATGGCAGCTGCTTTTTGAAATCATAACTTTCTTTCCCCACATAATGGCTTTTCCCCCTTTTGCATGCTGCATGTTTCATGGCGTTTCCTCCTCTTACTTATCTTGTTCTCCTCCTCCTTTTTGTTAATCCCCATTAAAATGTGCCACTTTATCTCTAAGGAAACACCTGAGTTTTTAGAAAGAGATATGCTTTTATTCAAATCAATGTTACAACCATATTAGAATCTATGAATGATGCAGACGGTTGATTGAAAATTGTGATCAAACACCAAGCAAGCTTGATTGGGCATGCCTGACAATTGACTGCTTCAAATACCCCAGCCTTAGTTAGTCTAGGTAGCATATTATTTTTTGGGATGTTTCTCTGGGCACATTTTCTGAGATAAGGTTAGAGCTTGAATAGCAGAATTACCATAACACTATTCCGATCAGTAATATTATATTGCAATAAGAAAACTGAAGAGTAATCCGATTCTTACTCCAGTTTTGAAATGAAACAATAAGGTTGACCTTTAATCTTGCATTGTGGTGTTTGCCTTTTCTGTACATAGATGCAAATTTTGGAATGCCTTATTTTTTTTTTTTAAAGAAATCAAGAAATAATATGTTTCTTTTTTTTTTCCCCTCTCCACCCCCTTCCTCTTTGTGCGTGTGCTGCCTCTCTGCGATTTGTTTGCCTCTTCCTCTTAAATGCAAGATCAAGCAGGTTGGTGTGTTTGATTTGCACTGCATCTAATAGAATTTAAATAACTTTTAAAAACTCACCTAGCTTTTTGTGCTCTAAAATCTCGGTGGATACAATGGGCATGCAATTCTACTTAGTCTGTTTTGTTCATGGATCCAGTGCAGCTAAAATGGAAGTTGTGGGAGGAGATTTTACCATTTAGACAAAATTTGGGAAACATTGTCCAAATAAAGATATGGGAGACAAGCCAGGGATTGTCCTTCTATAGCAATAGCTCAACTATTGTTTTTTTTTTTTTACCTTACCAATATTGTCCTTTTGAGTATTTCACATTGTGGGGAGGAAGGGGCAAAGAATAAAATGGGGCAAACAAAAAACAAATTCTTCTTTCCCCCCCTGCTTCTATTTCTACCCTCTGACCAAATGACAAATTCTGCTTTAGCTTAATAATTTTGCTCTCTTTTTTCTTCCAGCAACATATTATTCCAACACTGTGCATCTCATTTTTAGTTTTAAAAGTTAATATCACTAGAATGTGTATATCTTTTTAAAAATCAAAATCTATGTCGTTCTAAATTAATGAAAATATTTTTGGTGGGATAATATTGGGACATCTTACCCAGTTGATCATTATAAATCAAACATCCCCAATAGGAACGAATAACAATGTATTTGACGCAAGACTACAGTACCACGACCACAGAATGGTTATTTCTTGATTCTTGGATGATAGATACACTTTTTAGAAGTCTCTACATTGCAGTATCGATTACAAGCTTGTTACAAGAACAAACCCAATGCAAAATTTTATTAGTATGATAATACAATGAGAAAATGCCTCTGCTTAATTAACCTTGCTTTTAAATCCTGTGAAAGGAAAAAAGAAAGTTTCCCCTGACAAGATGGTGGAGATGCAGGCCAAAATTGATGAAGAAAGGAAAGCACTTGAAACAAAGCTCGATATGGAAGAGGAAGAAAGGAACAAAGCCCGGGCGGAACTAGAAAAAAGGGAGAAAGATTTGCTTAAAGCACAGTAAGCATTCTGAAATTTGAGAAGACATTCATAGAACATTCCTCTAACACAGCGTTCTCCAGGCTGGTCCCTGCTGATTTGTTTGAATACAACTCTGATCAGCACGACGTATCTCGGAAGGAGGATAACAGTGGTTGAATAAAAGTATTCAAATCACTTCACATGCCTTCTCTAATTGAAGCTTTTATAACAACTCATAAGGAAAGTTGGCATTATTATTTCTTTCATCCCTGTTTATTGAAGTTCAGGGAAATACTTATAGAGGTATTAGAGAAGTAACTTAACATTGGTGAGAGAGAGAGAGAGAGAAGCAACTTTCTTTTGTTGTAAATACAGCTGCATTAGGGTTCCTGATAAATCAGATGAATTGCTGAAAAGTAGGCCATGTTCAGCCTGGCTGATGTTGAGAGAACATTATGCCAATCTTAAAATCATACTAAGTACCCCTACTATAGTCTCAGTTTACTTAAGTGAATGTAAGGAATTGTTTAGGACTTTTGTCATATGCAATATGGGCTGCTCCATTAGACTTGGGATTTTTAGCTGTAGAATCCTGGCTATAGAAATGCAAAGAGTTTTTTCTTCTTCTGCTTCTCTAGGCAAGAACATCAGTCACTATTAGAGAAGTTGTCAGCTTTGGAAAAAAAAGTGATTGTGGGAGGTGTGGATTTGTTGGCTAAAGCTGAGGAGCAAGAGAAACTTCTAGAAGAATCTAACATGGAATTGGAGGAACGAAGGAAAAGAGCAGAGAAACTTCGAAAAGAGCTGGAGGAGAAAGAGGTCCACTTATTCTCTTGTTGAACTATTGATTTCTTTTATTCTAAACAGCCACCACAATACTGTTCTTCATCTGTGCGTTCATAGGTTCAGGCAAGGCTAAGGAATAATCAAGGAGTAATAGCTATATCTGCATAGAACATGATAGCATCCCAAAGTTTAGAGAGATGTCCTGTACTACAGGAAAGATGTAAATAATAGTCCAATGAAACCCCTTTACTTTTTACAACCCTATTTTTTTAGAATAGAGATGGGTAAACAACTGGCATACTTGCCATCATAAATTGAAAAAGAGGCAGCATCCTTTTATGGCACTCTTGAAAGGAAACCAATATTGAAGCTTTTCTAGACAACAAGATGTAATTGAAGAAAATAAAAAGAAATTCATGGTTTAACTACTAAAGGAACCAGAGAAGGAAGCATCTAGTCAAAATATAACTCTGCAATGATCAAGGATGCCATGTCTGAGCTGCATACATTTGGGCAAGTACTAAAGGGCAGCAATGAGAAACAAAAATGCTTACTCTAGTGGTCACTCAGAAGCTTGCAACCCAGACATGGCAAACGATGCTTCTGAATTCAGAACTCAAGAAAGCAGTGAAGGAGACTAGAAATTTGATAAATGGGGAATACCTTTTTGGACAGAAGACTTTGTCCAAAAACATAGCAAAAGAAAGAAAGTGTGTCCTTAATATCTAAGTACATTCAAAAGAAAGTAGGAAAATAGATTGAGTATGGCAAAAGTTCATTTTGTCTGCATTTAAGTTGTAGTCCCATAGTCCTAGGAATTAATGCACTTGAACTAACCAACCAGTCAAGGCTTCAAGTTCAGTTTCAGGTTCAGGAAAACAAATGAAATGAAAATGAAAAACTAAAATGGCAACTAGAAGGAAGGAAAAGTGGACTTTTCCATCTCACAAATATGTCCATTTTTATCACAAGCTTCTTCCTTCAAAAAACTGGATGTTTAAAACTTTGGAGATATTTCTTGATACTCATTGGGTAGCACCATACGGAAGCTCTAAATCTTTCAGATGTAATTGATAAAAAACCACAACCATGTAAAAGACCATAGTCTTTTTCTACTCCAGCATAAGTAGAAGCTGGAAAATACCTCATTTCCTAATTTGTCAGCTCTTGCTAATTAAAGCATTCCAATAAGATTTAAAAACCTCAGTGAATGTCTGAAATAGATGCACAAATGGCACAAATGAATGACAAAATATTATCGTACTCTTATTTTATGAATCCTCCTCCAAAGGCTTATGTATAAAATAATATTCTTGCACTTGCCCATCAGTTAGATAATGGTGACCTATCTATTTTTTTAATTTGAAAAATAGCAAGAGCGTTTGGACATTGAAGAAAAATATACCAGCCTGCAAGAGGAAGCTCAAGGGAAGACTAAGAAGCTTAAAAAAGTGTGGACAATGCTTATGGCAGCCAAGTCAGAGGTCAGTATTATAAATAGTGGAAAGGTCTGGTTTCAGGATAAAGGTGCTGCTAGTAGCTATACAGAAATGATTCTTGTAAGAGGAAATTGAACATGGCTCAGTGGCTGAATAAGAAGAAACTAAAGAGGAAACTGCTACTGGCAATTGGTATGTGAGATGTTCCCTGAGTTTTTTTTAGGAGACTAAGGTTACTTATTGAAACAAGCATAGCTGCTGCACATATTAGTATACAGGAACAACATTTGCTTGAATTATTTAGACTTTTGAAAGATTTGGTAGCATGACCATAAAAAGAGTGGTTTAAGTCCAGTTTAAGTTTAAGTTTAAGCTCTATTTAACCTCTATTTTTGGAATAGAGGCAGCAAAAGAAAAAAATCCATCTCTTCCTCCAGCAGTTTATAGTAGCATGAAGTCAATATGGCCTTAGCACATCGGAAAAAGAAACAATTCCTAAATACTTCTGTATAACTTATTTGCTATACATTTGCTTATAAGATACATAGATTCGAATACTGTTCTTTGAATTCCTATCTGATTCTGTTTATTTAGATGCGTTTCTAATAGCCTAAGATTGAAAATGAATGTTTGGGGGGGGGAATCTTGGGGGATACACTTTTCTCAATTCACATTGACCCTTTTCCTTTATTGCTGATACATCTAGACAGCTTATTACAACTTAATTTTCACTATAAAGATGATTTACAGTCATTCACATATTTTTCCAACCAAGTGTTTTGTTTGGTTTTATTGACCACTGTTCAAGGAATAAGAAAGAATATTTCCTAATGGATTATCTTTAAGTAGGTTTTTTAAAAAAAGAAATAGCAAACAACAAGATGAAAACAGGATAATATTGATTGTTTAAAAATGTGATTTAAGAATATAAATTTTAAAATATAATTTTAAAATATTTTTAAAAATATTCTAAATATTCTTGATGGTTTGGTTTATATTTGTAGATGGCAGACCTGCAACAAGAGCATCAAAGAGAAATTGAAGGCTTACTGGAGAACATTCGACAGCTCAGCAGAGAACTTCGTCTTCAAATGCTTATAATTGACAACTTTATACCTCAGGATTACCAGGTGAAACATTTCTGATGATTTTGAGAGATTAAGCAGTAGCTGTAGGAGATCTGTCTGAGCTTGAGGGTGGAGTCAAATGCATCATCACTTTGGAATCATTATATCCCTGTGAGGTAACTTCGTCCAGCAACCCCCCCTCCATTGACTCTTATCTGGTTTTCAGAAGCATTTTGGCATTTTATATTTTAGCCCTCTTTGAATAAAACAAAATTTCTGGAGGGGAACAGATTCTTATGAACAGGTAGAATGAAATACATTTGTACTGCTTTAGAACTCTGTCTAATCCTGATTTCCTGTGCTTGACAGTAGCTGTAGCATGTATCATAGCTAGTAAGTTAGCATCTACTTCTCAATGGTGAGCCAGAACAAATTCTCATTTTAAAGAAGCTGTTTGCTGGAACATCTCCTTTGCTGCCCTTACCATATTTGAAGATCAGGTATTTTTATAAAGGAACAGACAGTGAGATACTTCCCATGTATTTTCTCCAGCATAAATTGATGAATTTAATTTCATGAAACTGAGTCATAGGCTGATAGTTACGATGGCAATACTGAGTATCCAAATTTAAACTGCACTGAATATCAGTAGCTGGAGGCCAGAAGTATATGTGACTTCAAATCACTCTTCTCCTGGTGTTGCCTGGACTAATTCCGGCACTTTTCCAGGCAACATTTTCTGAAGGTGTTTGCCTTTGTCTCCTTGGCTGAGAGAATGACTGGCTCAAAATCACCCTAATGACTTCATGTCTAAGATGATAAAGTCTCCCAGTCTTTTAACCACTGTACGAAACTAGCTCTCAGAAGTCAAAAGAAAGGTACGGAGGTCTAAAGCTATCACATTTATAAGCTTTCACAATAACAATCTAAATACAGGGCTAAATGAGCCCTTTATTGTACGTACTTCCTTTATTTATATCTTGTAAGACAGCTTCCTAACCTGAGATCTCTCTTCTCCTGGCTGGAGAATTCTAAGAACTGAACTTTACACAGTTGAAGGATGTCCAGATTGGAGAAGGCAGATGCATGATATTTTAGCAGTGAGAGGTTGGGTCTAATTTATCAGGAATGGAGGAATGTAAAACAAAGCTCAGCACAGAAAAACTTGCTGGGACAATGCCTATTTGCTTCTGACTCTACTATGTTTAATAGCAACCTCTCTTTTCTGTTTTTTTGTTGTGATTCCACTCCAGGAAATGATTGAGAACTATGTTCATTGGAATGAAGACATTGGAGAATGGCAGCTGGTATGTGAGCTCACTTTTGATACAAAAATAGTATGTTCTGCAGAATCTGACTCTTATGCTACTTGTATTAATTTACCAAGCCTCCTCTTAGTCTGTTCCATTGATGATGTTAACATACTTTCATTTTATATTTAAAATATTATCTGTATTTTCTTTTATAAGAATGCCTTTTTCTTATACAATTACCATTTACATGTTTATTTGGAAATTTGTTGTAGCTACATTTCATATTTAATTTACTAATATATGTGGGATGAAGCAAGGACAAAAATGCCCTCGCCTTACCTTGGTAAGACCACTTCTTACTGTGACAAAAGCCAACAGTAGAAAGCGATTGCTTTTGAAATGTCTAATTCTTTTTTTTTTGTCTTTTAAGAAATGTGTGGCGTATACTGGAAATAACATGAGAAAACAGACTCCAGTGGCAGATAAGAAAGAAAAAGATGTAAGTGAGCCTTTGCAAATATGTGTTGTTGAAAGTCCAGTTTTCAGCTTTGTAGCTATCTTTAATACAGGGGTGGGATTCAAATTTTTTGACAGCCGGTTCTGTGGCTGTGGCTTAGGTGGTAGGCGTGGCTTGGTGGTCATGTGACTGGGTGGACATGGCTTGGTGGTCATGTTATTGGCTGGGTGTTGCCAACTCAATATCACTCACATCGAGGCACGCATCTCCTCGCCTGGCCTCTCATGACTGTGGGGATGCTGCAATAATTGTAAGTATGAAAAATGGTCATAAGTCACTTTTTTCAGTGCCATTGTAACTTTGAATGGTCACTCCACACAAGCAAAGTACCAGCACAGGAGGAAAAAATAACTTAATAGAAGTTCCTGAGACAAGAAGTCTAGTCCTGCCAAGAATGTAATAAGGGTTAACGGAGAGGCAGTTTCTGTAAGCAACACCAGAATGTTTCCTTCCTGCCTTCCTTACAGGATTAGGCCAGTAATTTCTTCTAACAACCGGTTCTCCGAACTGCTTAGAATGTTAACAACCGGTTCTAGCGAATCGGTGCAAACTGGTAGAATCCCACCCCTGCTTTTATATATGAATGTTTTGGTTTGGACAAGAGTACTTTGGCATGATCCATTAATGTTTACTCATCATGTTCACTTTTTCCTCCCCTCAGCCCTTTGAGGTGGACCTTTCCCATGTATATCTAGCTTACACTGAAGAGAGCTTGAGACAGTCTTTGATGAAACTAGAAAGACCAAGAACATCAAAAGGAAGATCAAGGCCCAAAACTGGCAGAAGGTTAGAACCACTGTGAAATACTATTTTGTGCCCAGCTTCAAATTTAAAAGGAGTTGAGATATTTAAGGCTGTATGCAAACAGGAGGAAGTCCCCCTCCCCCATTGGTATATTAAGAACCCCCATGTATGTCCCTGATACATGTATGGGGATGGTCCTGTTTTGTGTGCACAATTAGAGCCAACAGAACCTTACATAATAACTCTGAATCACTTTTCAGTTTAATAGAACATTTTTTACTTACTAATCTACACTTCTATAAGTACAGGGGGTCAGAACATTACCTCACAATCAAACCTATTACTCTTTGCACGTCAATAGTAAAAATAAAGCTGCTAGAGGACCCATGAAGTATCATTCAGGTGTCAGCTTTGGAATCCTTATTAAAACCTGCCACACAGCTGAGGAGGATGGAAGGGGGCTGCTGTTATTTGAGTAGCTTTCAGCAGACAAAATAGATATATAAAACCTTCAAGGTCATTCTCTGTGGCGCAGCAAGAATTGTAGCTGAAGGGTGATTGGTTCACGTGATTTATGATGTGAAAGAAAAGGGGCGGGTGTAGGTTGAGTCTTGTGGGAAGTCTGGGAGGAAACTTTAGTTTCGGAATTCCACAGACGTGCCAAGTTTCTGTTTTAATAAAGCACTTTGAGATTATGGTTGTCTCAGAATTACTGATTGGAACGGATAATTTCTGGAACCTTGACATCAGGTTGGATGGATGTCTTGCCTAGAGTTAGGTCAGAGACTCCTTCCTGCATCTCTTGAAACAACTCATTTATTCCTATTACAGCCTCCAATTAAAGTGATTTATATCTCCCATTCTACTTCCTCATCCCCCCCAAAAAAGTCCATTCATGCCATTGGTCATGACTTTCCTTTTGCATAATGTGTAAAATCGGTATTGTTGACTGTTCTGTGAATGTAGGTTCCTTTTTAATGCTTTGTCATGATCATACTACTTTTTGTCCTTGGCTGTTTCATTTGTATATATGAATGCATTGAATATTTCTTGATTTGACTAATGTGCACCATCTTCTCTCCAAACAGGAAACGCTCTGCAAAATCAGGAGCTGGGATTGATTCGCTGCTTCAATAGGCCAAAACAATTGGGGATTGGGTAAAGAAAATGCTTGTGTGGCTTAACACCTGGCCCAATATTGTCGGCTTGCAGTTGTTACTCAAGACAATAAGAAAACAGTTTTGTTTTCTGTTGGGTTTCTCTTACATCTTCTCTTATGCTGTTGTATTAATTCAGATTCAACAATATGGGGGTTGTAAACTTGTCATGGGTATGAATTCCAGTAGGCATTGTGCAAAAGCAGCTATTGGGAATATCTTTGTATCTTAGATTGGTATGTATTCAGTGGAAACGGTGGTATATGTGTCTGTTTAAATTTTAAACATATTAGCCATATTATAAGTAAACAAACAGATTTCTATAGCTGACATACACTTTTTCTTTGACTGCTGCCATTTGCTATAGACATTATTTCCTGTTTGCACAGCTGCAGATTTCTGTTTTTTTACATATAAATAGTAGTTAACAATACTTATATAATCTGGAAATTCTTCGTGCCTCTTAGGCATCTATATCTGTAGGAGAATTTCCATATATATGCATATATTTGGTAATATGCAAAGGTGGGCTGTTATAAAATAATGGTGTTGGATTTCTCTGGGATGAATGGCAGAGATAAAGGAATCATTGGGATTTCCATTGTGGCAAGTAACACAATCTACTTCACATATAGATGTTTGATTCATAAGAAGTTAAAAGAGATAATTTAAAAGATAATGTGACTCCAAAGGAACATGCTTTTTCATTTATAACACTAACATTTGAAGAGAGTAAGAAAGTTTAGAAATGTTTTAGGAAATAACTTTGGTGTTGCACAAACATTTCTGTGGAGAAACAATGCAGATCTCAGAATGACAGCACTTGAACCAAGGGATGCTGTACTTACTAAGCACTGAGATACTGGCATGCAGTAGCGTTAGGTATTTAATGAGATTTATCTGCTCTTCCTAGATCAGACCTCAATAACATAAAGTCCATAGGAGCCCTACTCCCATGATGCTATTAAGTGGCACCCACAGAATTCCCAAATTAAACACAAAAGCCTTAAAATGTGGAAACCTTGGAAATTTGGTTCACAATTTAGTGATGTTGATGCTAATGTCATCACAATTCAAGTGTTTTAAAGAACTGAAGCATCATATTTTTTCATCATTCAACATACTTGGTTGATTCCAACTAATTTCAAATCCAATATTTTATTTATGAAGATAAAGCTGCTGCTATCTACGGATGTATTTTATTTACATTCATACATCACATTGAGAATCCTGGAGATACCTGTTAACTGTATATATTTGAAAAGTCTTAATTTTAACCTGACATGTTGTGATTTGCATTTTAAAAGCTGTGCTAGTAAATGTTCTAAAGAAAAAGAACTTGATTATACTTTGATAACAGGATTTCCAATAGCTGTTATTGAATCTTGTAGATTGCTAAAGATGATCTCTGCTTTTTAAAATCTCAGTTGAATTTATCTCAGTGTCAACAAAGGCACAATTGATGATGCATATGGAGCCAAGATGTGAGTACAGGGAAAAGAATGAACAGGAGGGAAGAATAACAACCTTCTAAAATAAAAGCTATTCACTTTTGAATATTACAAAACAAAGTTTAGGGAATACAAGTACATAGTTGGTAGCTTATTAGATTTAAAACCAAAATATCCTAGTTCTTTTCAAAAGCAGCGTTCTAGGTTTGGCAGAGTTAGGAGTGGTGCTTACTGTGGCAAGGAGAAACAATACATAGCGGTACTTCCATTGATGTGGGAAAGCGGTGACTTGCTGGATGATGTTGAACACCAGGTCCTAGTATATCCAGTGATTGTTAACTCAGTCTTTGTTCTAGAGCAGGGTTGTCAAACTCACGTCACCACAGTGGCATCATGTGACATATTGGGACTTTTCCCCCCCTTCGCTAAACTGGCATGGCCCATAGGCTGGGAGTTTGACAGCCCTGTTCTAGAGCCAAGCTGCAGATGAACCTGCTCTTAGCTGTTACTTTGTTTTCTTCAAAGCACACTGAAGCGGCTTCACAGGATGGAGTGAGCTGAAAGTGGCTTTCAAGGCATCCCAAAAGTTTGAAAATGACTCATCTTGTCTTAAAAGAGTTGTTCTGTGTTGTGGATCACCACTTTCAAAGGCTTTGTACAGCCCTGACACAAAATCAGAATTCAGGAGATTCATATTTCATTAGTCAGATTGAGCTAAAGCTTTTATTCATCCTGTTTGTTTTTTGTTGCAACATGTAAAGTCATTTGTATGTATAGTACTTCCCTTTGTTCTTTAAACTCTTACCTAGTTCTTACATTCCAAGCTGAGCAGGAAAAATGGCACTGTCCCATTGCAGATAGTTACTTTTCCAGTTTAAATTAATACCAGTTGATTACTGTTTCTTGCAACCAGCACTGCATACATTAGGAGAAAAAGATGTATAATTTGTCCCTATTTATTGTTTTGCTAACATCTTTAAGGTTTCAAGGTTATGGTTTTGTGGTATGCAAGGTGTGTTCTTGTTAATGTATATACTAGTAAAACATATTGACAGTTAAACATATTGGTGCCAAGAAATAAAGGTCTTGGATCCTCCTATACTTGTTTCCATCTCCTGCATCTGTTGATATCCATATGAGCAAACTAGTTCCTGTGTCAATTTCTCCTTTTTCCCCCCCTGCACCCTACATTTCTGAAAGAGACTCCAGTTCTCTGGAGCGTACAGAAGGCATGTTGAAGAGACGGGTCTGTCTCTCTTTGGCAGTAGGCTTTGTTCAATTGGGGGCAGTAAAGATCATTTTGCCAGATTTGTTGAGCCTCTCCTGGAACAGCAAACAATGCAGATTGTCTTCAGCTTACAACAGTTCGTTTAGTGACTGTTCAAAGTTGCAACAGCACTGGGGAAAAAATGACCTATGACCATTTTTCACACGATCCTCATGGCCATGTGATCAAAATTTGGATGTTTGATAAGTGGCTCATATTTATGACGGTTGGAGGCATGTGATCACCTTTTGGGATCTTTTGACAAGCAAAATCAATGGGGAAGCCAGATTAACTTAACAGCTGTATTATTAATTTAGCAACTGCAGTGATTCCCTTAACAACTGTGGCAAGGAAGGCCTTAAAATGGGTCAAAACTCACTTAATTGTCTCACTTAACAACATAAATTTTGAGCTCAATAGTGGTCATAGGTCAAGGACTTACCTGTAATAGGTCCTTTACGACAAACCACTGTTAAGATTTGCATCTTTAACTCAAGCTTGAAAGAATTAGCACCAAAATGAGGTGTTTACAGCAGTCCTCTGATAAACAACTGCCCACAGAAAGAGAACGAGAGTAAAATATTGAAGACACAGGTGACTATGCAGAGAATATAGAAAAAGTGTATATAGTTTTTACAGCTACCAAATATGTATACCCTCCCTGATGCATCCCTCAATGAAATCCAAGTTTGACACCCCTGAGCTAGATCAAAGCTATCTGACACTTGCTCTGATTGGAAGGGAAAGAATTGAAAAATGCCACTTTCTGAATTCTAGAATTGGAAAAAATAGGTAGGGAGAAAATTAGGACAGTGCACATATGTGTTAAAGTTTTATTATAATTTGTGCACATTTGCATGCTTAGAGTTGACTAGAACTGAATGCTGAAGAGGTCAGGGGGGAAAAATCTCTCTTGTATTTTGAAACATGTCTTAACTGAAGGGAGAAAAGAAACTTTGTATTACTATGCAGAACAATTAGAAACCAGTCATATTTGCAAAATATGAAGAAGTGAGATTGTTTTCACCATTGTATGTTTTGAATAAAATAGGAAGAAAACCCTGGAATTCTCTTTTGGGTACATTTCATAACCTTAGACATATACTATGACAGAAGGCTAGTTCTGATGTGCAGCTGTGATAAGACAAAAAGTCATTGTGAAGTCCATTATGGATTTGTTTATTTTTAATTTATTTTATTTTAAAAATGGTACATTCTTTCCTAAAGAAAGCTTTTCCCCATGGAGGTTTACAACCCATTTCAAGATGAAGGCACAAAATCAAAGTTAATAAAAAGTCAATAATCAGAAATATCAATTGTATGCATTTTAAATATTGATATCAATCTATATATAAATGGAATACATTGGACCTATAAATATTAAATATGAACCATTTGGATTTTAACACACCTGGATTCAAGAAAACATTTCAAAACTGATTTTCATTTAAACCTTACAAAAATAAATCGCAGCTACAAAATAACAAAGATTTGTTAGTGGGTAGTAAAACAGTATACACCCAACATCTCTCCACCCTTATAAATGGGTTGAAAATCATTTTACACAGATGTTTTTTTAAAAAGATATACAATGTAATCAGGATAGCGTACAGTATATGCAAATACATAAGCACCATCACTGTATATATTTCTTATTCATAACAGAACTGTATTTAGTCACTTCAAGTGATTCAAACAAAAACTCTCAAGTATAATAGTTTAGATTTGGTTCCAGTTTGAGCTTCTTCGGCGACAGACCGAAACCTCGTCTCTGCGAGGCTTCGATCCATGCTCGCCGCTGGAGTGCCCCAAGCCGGCTGGTTTTGGGGCTAAGCCACCCCGTAGAGGTGGCGAAGAGGGGGGAGACTGCCTGCAGGGTTGAGGAGAGCCACATCTCTCCTCCCCAGCTGGCCATTACTCCCTTTCCCGAAGGCGGTTGTAGCAGTGGTCAGAAATGGCCACCACAAAGAAGAACTTGACTGGAAAAGAATGTGCAGGAGGAAGATAAGAAGAGAAAATTTTGGTTGACTGGGTCAGACAGCAAAAGCAACAAATAAGGTACCCTGGAATTTAAACTTAACAACATTGTTCCCAAAGAAGATTTTGAAGCTGCGAAGGAGAGAGAGAAGGGAAAGGATTAGGTTTTTTTTCTTCCCTTCCTTATACTGATTGCTAAGAGACTTAAGCAAGAAATTGAAAAAAAAATCCACTTTGACATTAATAGGCATCTAAGCTGAAAATAAAAGTCAAAGGGATAATAAAGATTTCTGGACATTTAAAAGTTTTTAAAAGCAGGAAAGGAGAAAAAAAAGAATAAAAGGGCAGGATCTGGAAAAATGGAGGAGACTGCCTGGAATTAAGGAATGGAACTGTAATTAAAAGGAACTTACAGTGAAATTTTAACAAGATTCCTCAAAGATACATTTTAATTGAAACTTGGTAACAAAATAATAGAACCCCAGGAAGAGAAAGTGGAAAAAAGAAGCAAGTAGAAACAGCCTTGGATTATTTGGATTATTTGGATTATTTGGATTATTTGGATTATTTGGTGATTTTTGGTTTTTGCATCTAGATGACTAAAATTAACCGGGTGGTTGTTTAAAAGTTTTTAAAATGGTATCACTCTTAGAAGAACTGAAAACGGAACTTTAAAAATGGAAAGAAAATGCACAAGAAGGGAGAAGTTCTTTTGGCTTCGTGTTTCAATTCTTAGAAATGGAGAGCTGGAATAATGAGAAGCAACAAGAAACGCTTGCAGAACAAGAAGATTGGGACAAAGAAGCAGCCATCTTTAATGATCAAATAATTTTAAGTGAGGGGAAAAAAGAAAAGGGGGGAAAGAGAGTGAAAGGTTTAAGACTAGAAAAAACAACCAAAAAGAAGAAGAACAATTTGAAAGATAAGTATAATATTAGAAAGCAACAGAAGAGCGGATTACAGATGAGAGAGTTAGAAGTAGAGAGACGAGGGGGTAAAAAGGAGAGGGAGAAGAAGAGGGGGAAGAAGGCAAGGAAAAGAAGTTGTAAAAAACAGAAACAAGAAATGGAGAAACAGAGAAAAGATATAAGGATTGTAACCATAAGCTTGTTTAGAGATAATGGGTGAAAATTTAATTGCAAAAGGGATTCTGCAAAGGTACATAAGATAGCATTGTTATATTACAAATAGAAATAATTTTAGAAAATATGATGATGGATAAAATACTTACTGTAATGTAGTGGGATGTTTGTTAATAAATAAATGAATTAAAATGATTGAGAGAATTAAAAGGAAACATTTTTAATTATTAGTAATGATTTATAAAAATATAAGTGAGAAATATGGAAAAAAAAGAATTAACTATGGAAAGTTTATAAGTGTTCCCAAGGAAGTATGATATTTAATTGAAAAGAAATGTTAAAGATGTTAAGATTTTAATGCATATTAATGATAGAATTGAATTGGAATGGAATGTGTTTTATTTACATACATACACACACACACACACATATATATATAATTTTTTCTTTTTAAGAATATAGTCTCTATTTTAAGAATGTACCAAGCAGAACTCGATTTGAAGTTATGTATTATATTGAATGCTATAATCTTAAAGGTATACATTGAAGTTTAAATAAGAGTTTGAATGGATAAAATTAAAGGATATAAAGGTGTCATACTCTAATTGGTAACTACAGGGAAAAATTTGCTTAATAAGAAAAGATAATGTGAAATTGAAACAGGACAGACAAAAGTATAAATATAATGATTTGAATTGAGATGAGATAATTAAAACAAAGTTGAGAAAATTAAAAGAGGGGAAAAACTATGTAGAAAATATAAAATGGTAATAAGATATGGAATAGAATATAAAAATGAGCATGAAATTGAGTTTTGTGTCTGTATGAAGAAGTGATAACCTGGGACCATGCTATTTTCAAAAAAAATGTTTTATTTGTATTTTGTTTTTGTGAAAACCCAAATAAAATTTTCAAAAAAAAAAAAGTTTAGATTTGCACAGTACTAAAATTATTAGTGCATTTATATCATGACAATTGAATGGACAAGTAAATGGGATTTTTTTTTTTAATTTTTTTTTCCAAATATCCAAAAGGGTATATAGAGATGATGCATGGGAATATACTCATATGCATTTGGGTAGATTTTTTTTTTAAACCCGGTAGTTCTCCTTTCTAGATTGGAATATATTTCTAAATAAATTAGTTTCTACATTTCCTCTCAATCAAATAATTTATGGCTAACAAATATGAGAAGTCTTGGTCTTTAGAAGTAGATTAGTTGCTGCATTTTCTTTGATGGGTGTCTTTCCAAAAAATTTTTGTTCTAACATCTGTTATATAATCTTTGAACATAATCCTTAAACTTGGGGCAGAATTCCTTCATAGTAATGCGATCATCTGGCAGAATACATTTACTCTATAGAAAAGAAAAGAAAAAGAAAGGTTATATGCCTATAATTTTTTTAAAAAGTACATTTGCCTCCTGATGATTTCACAACCACACCCTCATTTTTAAGAAATAAAACAGAAATGGCTCGCCATTACCTTCTTCCAGGTTGTTGTGCTATGGCTGTGCAGCATTTTGGATTCAGAGTAAGCATGAATGTACTACCTGCTGGCACCTCCTTTAGCTAAACACATCTTTTCCAAGGATCTCGCTGCAACTGGCCAGAGCAACTGCACAATTCTGAGAAAAGTTGCAACTGCTTTAAGGAGTTTATGACCTGTCTTTTGACTTGGCATCTCTGTAAAGCCCTCCATTTTTGCATTTTCTCAATCCATTCTACAATTCTGGAGTTCCTAGAATCTCTCCCCCACCCCCT